GATAAAGATGAGAAAAGAAGAGAGAGAAAGAGAGATAGAGATGATAAAAGAAGATAGAGAAAAAGAGAGATGAGAAGAAGGAGAGGAGAGAGAAAGAGGGGAGGAGAGAGAAAGTTACCTTCCCGAAGGGTACCAATCCTTTTCTTCTCTCTCCTCTCTCTCTCTCTCTCTCCAAGACGTATCCACGAACTCAAGCAAAAATTGAAATCTTTATTCAATATTAAAGAATGAACTTAAGGGGATTTGTTCGTTTGGCTTTACCTGCTTATATAGAATTGGGCTAAAACATGGGTTTAAGGCCAAAACCTACCTAGATTTGAAGATAATTACAATTTAATTGATTTAAAATAAATTCTAAAAATGGGTGCAAAAGGACTATTTTGCCCCTACCTAATAATGTGTAGAATTTCAAAACAGTCCCTGTTGCTGCCCGAGAACTTGCATAATCTTCCATGACTGATCCGGGGTTGTTCTGATGCCCGTTTGATCGAAATATTATTGTTTTCTTGTAAGGCTCGACATAACGATAGTTTTGATATCAATTTCAAGTTATGAATCATGTTTTTGAGCCATGATCATGAGACTTGAATTTTGGATGAATCTCGAAAACTTGGATCATTGTGTGCTCGTTCCTTGATGTTTTTCTTCAGTTTCTTCGTTGAATCACACTGAGCATGCCGTCATGATCACGTTGCAACGAATGCAGCTCGATTTCGTATCTAGATGAAGATTTTGTCGTCTTGAGTTTTTGGCCAGAATCTTGAAATCCGGCGGTCGAAATTTATAACAGTTTCAATGCCTTTGTGTGTGAAATCCAATCGTTCATCGTATACGAAGTTCGAACTAGAGATAACCACAGACCTCACGCACATAATGCAATTGATTTCATGTCGATTGGGCATGCGAATGTCGTGTTCGGCCACCGGAGTGGGGCGTGCTGCTGCTGAATTTTCTGCAACCTTCTTCACGGATCAACAATTTATCTATAGTTTTTCTCCCTGTTCGGGCATCGTCCAATTTGGAACGAGTGAGATATAGGCCCCGAAAATCACTGCCCATGATTGTGAAAACAACTACCTTTAATAGTATTTTAGTGCAGGGTGGCCAAACGGGAATAGTGCGCAGCCTACCTCTTTTTGGTATTTTGCCCATAACTTTGTCTTGGAGTGCCCAATTATGCCGAAACTTGACCTATAGGGGTTTTCGACTGTGCCGGATCTAATGGAGGTGGTCCCAGAGCTGTTTGGCACACCAAAAGTACATCTCTAGTTACGGGGTCTATTTCAGGGTGCTAGAGGTCAATTTTTTTGAAATTGTTTCTTTATGTTCACTGCCTTAGATATATCTGATTGCGATGAAACTTAGCAGGTGGTCTTTTAAAGTGTTGATGAAAATCTTGACCAATTTTGGAGAAATTATGAGATTATAAAAATTTCCACTTATTTTGTAGGCTTTATTGACTTGCTTCCTCTTTATTCTACATCACGAGCCAAGGTGTTAAAAAATGGGATCAAACCCAATTAAACCCGAGCTATTTTCATGTTTGAACACAGTTGTTTTGAAGTAATGGTTTAAAAAGCAGATCGGTGACCCGGATCGGGCACCTCAAAAATCGATTCGGATAGGGAATCGGTCGGATTAAAGCTTCAAAAAAATCCGAAAAAATTATTAAACTTCATTATAAATGTAGTTTTTTAGGAATCCAATAAGAAATGAGGGTATTACATTATTAAATTTCATTTTTTTCATCAATTTGTGAATATTGAGATGCTCTTTCCCTGTATAAACTTAAGTATTAAATTTGCATCACATAAAATAAAAATCATAAAATTATCATGGATAAAATATATAATTATACATGGACTATAATAAAGAGTAGACTAAATCAATGAAAGAATGGCCATTAAAATCTCGTTTTGGCGAAAAATCCTAATCCGCTAAAAAAACCTAAATTATTACAGCCTAACTAACTATAATAAAAAATTATGACAACCTAACTAATTATAATATTATATACTGAAATTATAATTATTAGTTTACATTTTATATTTATTTTATTAGACAAATAATAACAAATTAAAAATATTTTATAATATTATCTAATTTAAAATGTATTATTGACAACTGTAAGAAAAATAGTACATTACATGATTTATAATGTAAAAATTAATAAATAAAATAAAAGATTTGATTATCAATGTAAAAATTAATAAAATGCGTACAAATTTTGGAAATAACACTTTAATTTATTATATGCCCGAGGGGGCACAAAAATTAGCTCAAGAAGGGATAAACTACTATATGGCCCAATGGGGATTAGAATTTGAGAAGTCAAAGCAAATAACATTAGTGATAACCATCATGCCTCCTCAGGATATGTGTATAAAATTCCCTATTAATAACCTATAGTTACATTCTGTTTTCATTTAATGATGTTTGGGAATTATCCCACATCGAATGATGAGTATTTAAATATGCTATATAAGTAATTATGTAATTGAAAGATAAACATAAGTGTGAAAACACTAGGGCATCCTTGCACATGCGCGTGTGCATGTGCGTGTCTCACGTGTGGCACATGTGGGAGTGGTGTGTGTCGCATGTGTGATGCATACATGCGGCACGTGCCCACATGTGGGACATGGGAAGATGTTTTTGAGGCGCGTGTCCCACATGTGGGACGTATGGCATGTGTGAAGGTGTTTATGTGGGACGTATGGCACGTGTGAAGGTGTTTTTGAGGGGCATGTCCCACATGTGGGAGTGTGTACTAGGTGCTTTTGAGGCTAGAACCAGGCTGAACCGGACATAACAGGGCGGTTCCCAGTTTTGTGCTGGTACCAGGTTGAACCGGACAGAATGGGGTGGGAACCGGCGGTTCTGCTCTAGAACCGGGCGGTTCCCGATTTTGTGCCACATATGGCACGTGTGAAGGTGTTTTTGAGGCGTGTGTCCCACATGTGGGAGTGTGTACTAAGTGCTTTTGAGGCTAGAACCAGGCTGAACCGAGTGGGAACCGGCTGTTCTGCTCTAGAACCGGGTAGTTCCCAGTTCTGTGCTGGAACCAGGCTGAACCGAACAGAACCGGGTGGGAACCGACGGTTCTGCTTTAGAATCGGGCGGTTCCCGGATTTGTGCCGGTTCCACGTGTCGCACGTATGACACGTGTAGGAGTGCGTACCAGGTGCTTTTGAGGCTAGAAGCAGGCTGAACCGAACAGAACTGGGTAGGAACCAGCGGTTCTGCTCCAGAACCGAGCGGTTCCCTGTTTTGTGCTGGAACCAGGCTGAACCGGACAGAACCGGGTGGGAACCGACGGTTCTGCTCTAGAACCGGGCGGTTCCCTGTTTTGTGCTGGAACCGGCATGGGCTGTACCGATTTTTGAATCGAATCGGGCGAGTCCAGTTCGACTCGCCGATTTTTAAATCATTGTTTTGAAGTAATATTGGTTTCGTCTTACCTTACAAACCTCAATGCGCAACAACGCTAGAAAAATTGGGCGGGAGAAATCCACTCATTTTTTCACTTCAAAGAAATTTCGCGCTCACCCTACTTGTTTACATTAATCTTCTTAACAAAACGAACACATTTCAACCAAAAATAAATAAAAAATAAAAACATAAAAGAAAGACAAGAAAGGTGGAAAAACGCTAAAACGAGGCTTAGGCCTTGCAAAAAAAGAAATTTTTTTTTTTTTGCAAAACTCATAAAAAATTGTATCTCGAATAGTACAACACCTGCACCTGACCATCATAACAATACACAAAAAATTAGAATTTCAAATCCTAAAAATAATGTATTTTAGAATATATTATTTGGATTGTTTATCTTAAAGTGTTTACGAATCCGAAAGATCTATACCATTTTTAGAGTTACATATTTTATAATCGGCGTAGCTATTGATTTTAGAGCCATCATAGAGATTTTTTTAGAGAAAATTGTTAAAAGCCCCCAAATATGGACTTTTTAGGCACTTTATCCTAACCTAACTTTTTCTAACATATTTTTCTCAAAACCAACTTTTCTAGCTAATACCCTCAATACAAAAAGTTCATTTTTTTTGGACGAAAATACTCTTCTTGTATATAACAAATCAATTTTGGATTCCAATAAAAGGAAACGCTGAACTGCACTTGTACAATGCTTGACTGCTCATTTCAGAACGTCGGACTGCCACTTTAAAATGCTAGAGTGCCCTTCAAAATGCCGTATCGCCACTTCAAAATGCTGGACTGCCTCTTCAAAATGTTGAACCGCTATTTTAAGACGCCGGGTTGCTATTTCAAATTGTTGGACCGCCTCTTCTAAATGCCGGACTGGCCTTTTCCAACAAAAACTATTGTCAAGGAAAGGGTATTTTTGTCAAAAAAAGTGAACTTTTTGTATTGGGGGTATTAGTTAGAAAAGTTGGTTTTGGAAAAAATTATGTAAGAGAAAGTTAGGTCGCGTATATTTGAGGTTTTTTTTAGCAATTTTCCTGATTATCTGTGGATAAAATATTTTTTGGAAAATAAGTTTACTATTTTTAATAAGACATACTTTGTAGAAACTCGAAACTAAAAAAAAAAAAAACACCATTTGACCAAGGGTGCAGTTTGCATACGGATGCATCCGTAGTTGTAGAGAGTGCACCTTCAAAATTTATCATGGTATATAATTTTGATGTAAAATGTTCTTAGGATTATCTCAAAATCTATTTTTATATATAATTATAAAATTTTAAATTTAAAAATGGTTAAATCAAGTAGATCTATAAACATATGAAAATCTTGAAAATGAACGGTATAGATAATATGTTGTAAAATACATTATTTTTTAGACTTAAAATCTTTTTATTTTTCATGATATATCTGGGATGTGGAGATGATAAATCAAAAGGTTTTTCAACATTAAAACTACCTTTTTCCTCTGGATTTTTGTGGTGCACCCGTAGTCCTACATTATAAAGTTGCAACCTTAACTAAACTTTTTCCTTTGATCAACGGCAAAATAATCTCAATTGAAGGCAGTTTTGGGGGTAGCGACTTCAAAATTTCCTTAAAGCTTCAACGTTCGCTCCTTCCCTAAACAATCGCAACCCTTCTCTCTGTCTCTCTTTCTCTTAAACTCAACGCACTCAAACTCAACAGTTTAACGGACACTTAACTTGCCAAAGAACTAAGGCCATGGCCTTAACTTTTGATTTGTAGAGAAGGAAGTTGAATTTCTTCTCTTGCATTCTGCAACCCTCTCTCTCTCTCTCTCTCTAGAATTAGGGTTTTGGAGAATTACACTCGAAAAGCGGGAAAGGTTGAAGTTTTTCACTTGCAGAGCATACGATTGAAATTCTTCTCTGTATTGTGCCACTCCTCTTAAAAGTTTCTCTGTGGAACTAGGGTTTTCGATATTTATATCTACAAGACTCATAGAGAGCCACCTTTTCAGTTGCAGAGAAGAGAAATTTCTTCTCTTCTTTCTGGCTCACTCTGTAACGTTCTCTCTGGCGTAAGGGTTAGGGTTTCCTTTTTCCTTCCAAATAACTTGAAGCAAATGAAGGACCTCCATAGCTTAGCAACCCCCAATTTCCAGCTCTGTGTACCCTCTGCTAAAACCCCACATTTTGAAACCCATATTTGAAACTCTCGCGTGAGACTAACTAATACTCATGCTTTTGCCCTAGCTCCGAAAGCCTAAACCTAGTCCACCTTCCATGGAAAAGCGTGCAGAAGATGAGTGGGAGGTTTGCAATGAAGATGGATTCATCTACAAGAGGAGGAAGAAGGAAACCTCAGCCGCTCGTGCTGGACCGGCGACTGATCCAACGGTGGAGATGAGGCATATGAAACTTCTGAAGAAAAGGGCTTTGCTAAAAATGAAGGAGGGGTACATTAGAGAGATAAAACAATGGGAAGATCTCTCTCTTCAATTGCAAAAGATGAGAGAAAAGAGCCAAGCTTTGGCTGAGAATTCCCCTGGTCAACCAGAAAGTCCTCTTCCACGTTTGCCTGAAAACAATTTCAGGCCATTGATTGACGATCTTCTGTTCCAGGTTAGCCTCTTGGATTTTTGTTTCTTGTTTCTGGGATTTTAGGGTTTTTGCTCTACTTTTGAGAAAAGACAAGGAAAACCTCTTTCAAGGAATTTCAATGGAGTGCATCTTTCTATTTACGAATATGAATTGGTGTTCTGTAATCTATTTTAGTAAATAAGAGAATTTTGAGCGGCAATATTATTTTCATCCATGAAGCAAAACTCAAATTCATAACCAGGAAAAGAATTTTGTGCTTTTCTCTCATCAACATCGAATTTAGGGTTTATTGAAAGAATCAGTATATGATTTTGGGAGAGAAATTGTAATTTTTACTTTCACTTCTTTTTGTTGTTACTTGAGACCCAATCATTCAAAATCATGAAATATGTCTCCCATTCATAGATGTATTGGAAATTATTAAAAAAAAAGAGAGTTAATGTAACGAAAAGCCATTGTTAACTCAATTTTTTTAAAGTCGCTTACAAAAGAAGGCCTGCTGCCTTTCCTTTTGTTGGTTATTTCATATGTGAATTTCTTGGCCTACTCCACGTTTATTCGATTTTGTTTCCCTTTGGGTAAATTAAATGAAAAATCTATTTTATTTTTGAATTTAAAATATAGTTCCGGATACTTTATGTTTTATTCTTAAGTCCCACTTTTACCAGTGAATATTATATTTAAATTTTATTATTCCATATATCTAATTACACTCAAATTTCGGACATCTATACTTCTCACCGTCATGCATATATTTAAAATATTTAAAAAATATAATTAAATTAAATAAAAATGACCAAGATACCCTTACAGATTTCAAAACTTTAGGTGGTATTTATGTTTAAAATATTTTTTTATTACAAATGAGAGATGGTGGGAAGTATCAAGTCATCAGGTTTGAGCTTAATCCAATGTACAGCAAATAAAATAAAAATAAATGCATTATGTACTCGCAAAAAGTGCAACTTAAATGTAGAATATAAAATATACAAGCCTAGTTTACATTTTTGATAGTAAAATAGGAAATTACCCAAAAAAAAGATAGTAAAATAGGAATTTTTATTTATTTATATTAATTCCCCTTCTTCTTTTTTTGTCATTCCATGTTTTTCTTTCATAGAAGTTTCTTACAAATTGAATGCTACTTCTGATTTCTTCTTTATACAATTTATTGTTTCATGAAATGAAGTTGACTGGTTCAATATGTCATTTCTATTCCACATCATATGGCCATTGTTTACATGAAGTTGAATGGTTTTCAACAAAGGAATTTTTGGTTACCTGCCTGCCTAGAGAGTGTCTATCCTTTGTATACTATACTGTCCTTTTCCATTACAAAAAATTGACATGGATGTATTTATCAACCACTCCACCACCCCCGCCCTGCCCCGCCCCGCCCCGCCCCGCCCCGCCCCGCCCAAAAAAAAAGAACTGTATTCATGTGTATCTTTTCTTGGATATCAGTATAGTTTCCAATTCCCCCCGAAACTCAACACAAACTCCACCTTAGATGAGAAGGAAATTTTATTTGATCATGGCCTCCATGCCCAATGTTCTCAAATTAGCTGGGTAATTTAGCAAGTTTCTAAGAAATCAGAGAAATTGTGTTTCTCACTTGAAATGGCTTGCTTTTGTTGTGTTATTTGTTGATGTTGATGAAGTCCTGTAATTTTTGGTGTTATAGGCAGAAGTTCAAGAGGCGATTCTACAGGATTTCTCGAATCTCTGTCAAATGGCGGACGCGCTCTGTGAAGCTGAGGAGAATCGTCAAAAACAGGCGTTGATTGACCTTCCAATATGGGAAAATCCATTATCCATCATGAACTCTTTAGCAGAGCTTGAAGGAGATGCTAACCAGAGAACCTGAAAGTCATCTCCCCTCTCTCTCTTTCTGTATCATGGCCTATTTAACAGAGCTTGAAAAGACCAGGTCATTAACCAGAAAGCCTGGAATCTCTCTCTCTCGCTCTTTCTCATATTGATTTATATTTTTCTTCAAGGCAGTGTTTTGCATCTGAATCTAAGAACTCATGCAAGCATTCTCTGTAGAAGATGAGATTGCATGGCGTGATGAGGAGTGAAAAATTACTGGGCAATGAATTTAGCTGCTCCCGTCTCTTGATATTGTTTCCATTTCTTTCAAATGGGAACTGCACAGCACACTTTTGTTCGAGTCTTAATTCTACATAGAGTTTTTGGGTTTTATTTATTTATATAAAGCAGTAAATAGAATCCACAAGAAATTCTAGTAAAAACCTTCCGTCCACAAGCTAATGGATTGGATTGACAGTCGCATAGTGCTATTTAACAACTCCAATAGTAGGCAAAAGGGCTGGGTCAAGGGCTGGGTCATTGTGGTAGTACCCCTACAACTTAATCACCATGTTGTTGTTTTCATTCCCACCAATAATATCATTTTATTATTTTTATTTTTTTATGTAATTCAGAAAAAGATGGGCTTTTACCCATTTTTTTCAAGTAGATTAGGAATGAGTTTTTTTAAGGTGTGGGTGGGGTGGAGGTAGTGGTAAGAATGGAAACCACAATGTGGTGATTAGGGTGTGAGGGTCCTACCGCTACAACCTCAGCCCTTTTCCCAACACCACCTCACTAACACCTTAAAATAGCTACCTCCTAATCTACTTAAAAATAAATAAAAACAAGTAGGCCCGGTCATTCCTACTAAATTATCCCAAAAAAATAAGGGAAAAAAAAAAAACTCTCATTGTAATATACAATAAACTTATAATAGTCCCCTTATTTAAAACCAGAACCAAAGTACTTGAGGACATGGGAATCAATCCTTACATAACCAGCAACCAGATTACCTTTAAAACGTGTTTCTGGCAATGGTCCGAAAAGACACATCTGAGTCTCAGGCGGTGAATTAATACAACTACCACACCACATTATTTCAACCCGGAGATTTAGTGGCAAATAAATGTTCAACGACCCAAACCAGGTGAAGTTGTGGGATGATGCTTCGTTATCAGTGGTTATAGTGCAGGGAAGCTCGAGAAGCAACTGGACTGACTGGGGTGTGATGCATAGCAACTGGACTGACTGGGGTGTGATGCATAGGTGTAGATGAGAGAGGTTCCTTATAGAATGGTCGACAAGAGCAATTGCTGAATGTACTCCGCCCTCTGTACTCTCTCTCGATAAGCCTGCTCTCCAGCTCCATCAGATGATTTGTCGGAGATCCTGCATGCACAGTAGCTGATAAAAATGTCAAAGAAAAGTCTTGTCGCAAGTCACGTGAGTAAATTTATAAAAATCTCTACTGACAAATATATATACTCTCTCTCTCTCTCTCTCAAAAGTGAACATTCTCCTTATATAAGTCAATATCGACAAATGGCAACATTAGCATACGCTTGATAACGGAAACTTATACTGGGGAACATATGGCTATGCATCGGATATTGCACTGTAATTACATGCCAGAATCCAACTGAAACACTAATTTCATTCCTTGTAATCTTCAAATCAAGTTGGTCAATCAATATACTGGATCTTCACAATCTGAAAACTAGGAATGAAAATGCTCCAACTTACTAAATCAACTTTGTTTTCTTCTTCTTTCCTTGTATACTTTTTTTTTTTTAGAGAGAGATTATTAAAACAGTCTGCAGTTACAAGTTCACAGCATCTGGTGAATTAATAAGAAATATTATTTGAAAGCCATACAAATAGTGAGAGCAGCAAAGAACTTTACCGTTCTGTGTCTTTAGAGTTTGACGTGATTTTGCCATCTGATGGTGAGTTTGTATTGCTTTCATTGGTATAGGGGAGTGATGAGTTGGAGAGAAATGGTGAGAGCAGTGGATCAGGAGCAGAATTAGGTATGTATGGTATTGTTGAACCCATCCCAAGAAATGAGCTCAGTTCTCGAAATTCCTTTCCAGCAATAGATGTATGGTAAGTCCAAAGTCCTCCTTTCTGAGATTTCCTCCTCCTCTACATTACATTTAAATGAAGGGAAGAGCAATAATACAAAGTTTTTTTGACCTGTTAAATGAAGGGAAGAGCAATAATACAAAGAGAGAGAGTGGAAGCCCCCTTTGGTGCCATAATATGATCCATATGACAACCCATGACCATGAGGTTATCACCATCCTATCAATGGGAGAGAGTCATGGAGGGGCGCGAGTCCCCACCAAATGTGTCATTAATTGAATTATATGTCCCCACTCTCACGCCATCAACGTCCAACCCAATGATTGAACAGTGATTAACGCCATGGTCTTTTTTTTAAAAAAACATTAACTGTTGGTAAGGGGTTAACAATTTTTGAAACCATTAGCAGTTTTCGAAGCATTGGTAGGAATGGAAACCGAGACCGGTAGCCGAGTCACACGTGGTGCTACCAACTTGACCTCAACCCCATTCCTGCAATCGTCATTGTTATTACGAGCAAACAGATCATACTACATTTTTCTCATTTACCTTCAATAGATGAGTGTGCTGGAAAGTAAAATGCCCAATCATGTCTCTGCCTACACTTGCTGCGCACACAGGGCATACCTGCATAGGTAATTTTTTTTTTTTTCAAATTTCAGGTCTTTTATCTCATTCTGCAATTATGAAAGTAAAAGTTAACCCTATTTGAGTAAATAAATATGTGCCTTAAAAGGACTATGATGTGACAAAACTTATCATGAGAAACACCTCCCATCCCTTATCTGGTACATGTAAAGATATAGTGAAGTTTTATTTATATTTCTTTCTCTTTATAAAATAAGACATGATACAATATCTTCTGAAAATTTTAATTTAATTTCATATTTACAACAAACATTTATGCATCTTCCAATTATCATTTATTTCTTAACCTCAAGTTTTTGAGTTAAGATAGAAGAATTTAACCATACATTGAAAATGCATAACTAAGCCCAGATTTGCCCTAGAAAAAAGGTCAGATTGGTGAAATGTCAATCAAGTTGATGATCACACACAATGACATAAAGAAATATAATTTACATCACAAATCACAAACATATAAATACAAGTTAGGCAGACATATAAATATAATTTAATGCTTGAAAGTGAAAATTACGTAAATCATGTGGAATGATTCCAATTTGCAATATTCATGTTGACATGGAAGAAAAATGAAAATTACATGCTATAATTCTTCATCAACTACTGCAACCAAATATTAGCTTTTCAAAATTAAGGAAGATTATCAAAGATATAAGGGGACTATGGAGAATAGAAGTCATTCAAGACAAGTCTCCAACACAAACAAAAATTTCAATTCCAAACAAATTACACCAACATTGGTCCTTCAGACGAGGAAGAAACCACATACAAGAATGCTTAAAACATCTCCACATAACTAGGTAGACATGGAAATTTCCTAGCAATGAATACTAGGAGACAATTAAGGCCAAAACCAAAATGCTTAATACAAGGATTAACTCCCCTAAACTACCACCAATGGGTGAAAAGAAGTGAAGCACTATTCCTTTCTCCATTAACCTTACAGCTAAAATAATGAATGCTGTTTGCAAATGAAAACTTAATGTGGCTCATTGTAATCTCAATGACCTTGATGCATATGACTTGTAGGTTATTGGTATTGGCACGGAAACTTCTATGGTCTGAAAAGTTTTTGAGTAATTTTAGTAGAAACCTAGTTATAGTTTCTAAAAAAGATAATACTGTTACATGCAATAGGAATGCTTTACTGGTAAATTCCTAAAAATGGTATGTATGATCAATTAGTAGAAATGGACATGTATATACAACATATTTTACAGACAAATTTGAGATAAATGAAGATATACTTCACAACTTTTCCAACAAAATAGGAAAAAAGAAAAAAAAAGTAATGGATAAACTACCCATCAATCTCATGCATGAGACCCATGCATGTACACACATTGGTGCGTGCACATGTAGGATACATTCATCTGTTCTCACTTCCTTCTACTTGAAAGTTCAGGAATCTGTGGTCTAGGACCCATTCTTCCTTACAAGATACAACTGGAAAACAGAATATATCCAGCCCCATCAATTACCAAAAGAAAAACCCCAAGAATAGGACTCCAACAACGGCCTCAGACTACTCCACAACTTACCCGACCCCCATTGGAAACACCTACCAGGCTCCATCCATGTTAATGTAAAATTATTCGACCCAATACTAGGCTTCATTTGAACCGTTTGACCTTTATGAGTTCTGATCAGATTTGTTTGGGTTTTTATAGCCTTAAAATTTGTAAAGGACATCACTTCAAAATTACAAGTTTTCAAGCTTCAAACAACTATGTAGTTCACTACTAAAAAAAGGAAAAAAAAAAAAAAAGGGACAAAAGAAACAAGAAATAATAATAACTTGGAAGTTCATAACTTCTTTCTTTTGCTACTTAGGGAGTCCATGTAAACTAGGGTTAAGTAACACTTTTTTACATCACATTGAGTGTAGGGAACATCGATAAAATGACAATGTTAAAAACATACGATTTGGGGTTTGGTCTCAAATTGGTGGATGGGATTTATATTCTTGGACTATAGAATTGCAAGATCCTCTATTTTGATGATTTAACCCCAACCAGTAGTGCACATCCGATGGAGCGGTAACTAGTGTACGAACAACTAGTGGAGAGACGAGTGAGTTTTCAGTGACAATAGGTTACATCAAGGGGGTCAGCATTGAGCCCGTACCTTTTTGTCTTTGCCATGGACAACGTAATTAGGCACCTACAAGATGAGATACCATGGTGCATGTTGTTCGCAAATGACATAGTTTTGTTTGATGAGACCCGAAACGATGTCAACACAAAGTTAGAACTTTGGAGGGATGCTCTAGCCACTAAAATCCAAAGATTTTAAAATTAGTCGGACTAAAACAGAGTATATGGAGTGCAAATTTAGTAATAATAAGAGTAAAGACGAGGAAGTAGTTAAGATTGACGGTCAGGAAGTTCAAAAAAGACCGCACTTTCGATATCTTAGGTCGAAAATCTAGGAAAATGAAAAGATCAAGGAAGATGTTGCACACAAAAATAGAGTTAGGTGGGCGAAGTGGAGATGTGCAACTGGAATTTTATGTGATCGCCGTATACCAATGAGGTTGAAGGGAATATTCTATAGGACAACCGTGAGACCAGCTTTGCTCTATGGGGCAGAATGTTGGGCGGACAAAAAATAATGTACCCATAGAATGAGATTAGCGGAGATGAGGATATTGAGATGGACGAGTGACCAGACAAGAAGGGATAGAATTCATAATGAATCTATTCAAGAGAATTTAGTCGTGGCACCAATAGGAGATAAAATGAGAGAGAATAGACTTAGTTGGGCCGGCCATATGTGGCACCGACCAAGTCCAACACCTGTTAGGAGGTGCGAATTAGTTCAAGTGGAAAGACTGAAAACGGCAAGGGGTAGGCCCAAAACGACATAATTGGAAGTAGTCCGAAAAAATATGAGGACTTAGGGCCTCACTGAGGATATGACCTTTAATAGAGTAGAATGGACAACCAAAATTCATATAGCCGACTCCAATTAATTGGGAAAAGGCTAAAATTATGATGATGATGAACTAGTGCACATCCGAGATGCAACAACAATGCGGTCAACCCTGGCCTTCTGTAAAATTTATACCTTCTAATCATGATCATTTCAGGGGAAACAATACTCAAGTTAGACTTGGCCACAACACATTAATAGAAGTTTCAAATTTAAGTCCCATAATCAATATCAACAACTTATAAAATAATAAATAAATAAAGGGAAACATCTGAAAGAAACTGAAGAAAAATAGAAAATATATTTCTTTATTGGCTTCAAGAGATAATAATTTCCATACCGTATTTTTTATATCAAAACAATGTTCTTCCTGAAGATGGCTACAGAGCACACAGACTTCAACTTCCACATAACAAAAGGGGCAAGGAAAGCATGCTTGCATGTCCTCATCTACTTCAGAATCATCTAGTACCAAATGTGTTCCTGTTATAGAAGGGAGAGAAAAAAAGAGAGAGTAAGGTACTCCTACAAGGAACAATGCTGTGAAAAATAAAATAATGTGAAAAAAGATAAAAAAAATAAAGGCAAAATGGAAATAACCAGAATGCAAGATAATGACCAATGTCATATGAATCCATTTCACAAAATCATTTGGTGAATCCCTCTTACCTTTGGAAAGAACAAGAAGTCTATACCATAGTCAACTCCTTGTTTTTTGGCATCCCAAAACTTTTGACAGGTCAGAGCACAAGACTATGTTGAAACTAAAATATAGTAGAATAATTAAGTAAGAATTTGACAGTAAAAAAGGCTATAACTTGCAAGGTCGCCCTTTAAAGGTACATTAAAGTGTAACTTCGATATAGCTCTAATCAGAGTCTCTCTAGGGTGCAGGTATGTTTAGGAGGTGTCAGGCTGGCGTTATTTGTGCCTGTTAGAACAAGAGCCTAAACAATAACAAGGTGGCGCTCTTGATAGTTGACAATGTCGATTTAATCCTTATTGGATTCGGTAGTGGTATTGAGCAACTCTCTATATGTTACCACATGGGCTTGGCAAGCCTCAATGTAACCACCATAGGTCACACACAAACACGCACATATATATATATATATATATATATATATATAACACTCATGAGCGAATTTCTACACTACTGTGCTGATGGCTTATCACCATCCAAAGTCCATCAGACGGTCATGATTATGCAATAGTGTTTGAATTTAAATAATTTTTCTACAAATCAGATTAAAATAAAATTTTGTGGGTGTGTGCACCATAGTGTGGCACACCAAACAAAAATATAAAACAAATAATTCAACTAATAAAAATGACTAAATTACCTCTATGAATGTTTCATAAGTACTTTCAGCATTTTATTTTTTGAGAATTATTGTTTTAATATTTTATTTAGGTGCGAATTGGTTAGATGTACAAACACCCAAAATTTCATATGAACTTGATTTTTAGAAAAATAATTAAAATTTAAATGTTACCAAAAAACCGTGATCGTATAATAATACTTTGGATGGTGATGAGCCATGAGTGAGATACTATAGAAATTCATCGAGTGTTTGTAAGTTTTTCTTATATGTGTGTGTGTGTGAGTCACAACCCTTCAAATTACAAAAGTTAATGATAGAATGAGTTATGAAGGGTGGATTTACTGTGTGACTTATATTTTAAAAAAAGTTAATTTTTGTGATATCTTGCTCATCAAGTAAAGGTATTTTTAGAAATATCACTAAAAGACAAGGGTTACTTTTGTCATCTCCATAAGGGATAAAGATAAATTTTTTACTAAAGGACAAGGGTAATACACAAATAAAGTTCTAAGACACTAATTTCTAAAATACCATTGTATTTTTATAAAAATATCAAATTTGTCTTTAATGATTAAGTTACTTATTAAAATAATTTTTAAAATTTGATAAATACATCCATCGCAACCCATTCCAATATAGGTGTGATTTTTATAAGGTTGCAATCTTAAACAATCCAATTAAGGCGCACCTTCAAATTTTATTATAACATCTGATTTTGGTGTAAAAAATGGTTAGGATTATCTGAAAATGCATTTTCATATCTAATTATAAAATTTTAAACTCCAAAAATGGCTAAAATCAAGATCTATAAACATATGACAATCTTGAAAAATGGACAGTCTAGATAATGTATTGCAAGATGCACTATTTCTGGGACTCAAAATCTTTTTTTTTTTTTTTCATATTCATACATCTTGATGTCGAGATGATTAATTAGAGGATTTTTCAATATTAAAACAACATTTTCCAATTGATTTTTGAGGTACATCTTTAATTCTATATGTTGAGGTTGCAACCTCATATAAACTTTTTCCTTCTAATATTAGCCTTTGTATTTTAATGGATTGTTAACGCTAGACAAACCCTCATATATATATATATATATGTGTGTGTGTGTGTGTGTGAGCAATGATTTCATGCAACCGTTGTGTAATAATATGATGCAACAACCTTAAAAAACCATCTTATGGCCATTTGTTTGATCCAAAATTTGAAATTTATACTCTTTTCATTCTAATGAACAATCACAAAAATAAAAAATTGAAAACACAACTTAGAAAATATTTTTTTAGCCCAATTAACATAGGCCGTTCATTTTGGTGAGATGCTTAGATCTAGGCCTTACAAGGATTTTTTTCATTTCCAATTTTTTTGGATGGCTTTATTATCATTAAATGAACAATGTTAAAAAAGAAAAAAATGATTTTGAGTTTATAGAGGCTAAGATCTTGAAATTCATAAAATGAATGGTCTAGATTTGTTTTTGGTGAAGACTCATTTTGACCATATCTAGGGTTCAAATTGAATTTTTTTTGTTTGGGGATTGATTATTGAGATGAAGAGAGAGTGTGTGCAAAATTTGGAGTCATATAAATATCACAAACAT